CGCGTCCCCAATCTTATTTTCCATACCGTATGGTGTTGTAGGGGATCCACATAAACACGATTTTGTGGGTATTTTAAAATTCTTCTTTACTGCGAAAAGTAGCTTCATCGGAAAACATTATTTGAGACAAAAAATTTGGATCGGCCTCTATTGCTTCATTTATAACGGTGCAGAAGTTTAGCATTGGTTCAAAATCACGGTATAGAAGTTCTCGGTCTACTTCCATTTCGGTTTACTACTTTCCGTTTTTCATATTGAATCCTACCACTAGCATCAAACCATTCCGTTAAACACTGAAGAAATTGTCTAGTTAGTGGAAGTCTATTAGGGTACTTCGTCTTGTAAAGTTTTACTGCCAACAAGGTTTTTTATTCCGTTTCACCCAGTATATAAATGATATAAAGTAATTCAGCTTTAGAAAAATCTATACTTAGTTTTTTTTATTTACTGACACCACAATAAATTTTTTGAATTTATTTACTCGGTTGTCAGGTAAAAAATGGCCAACTAATCTTATAGTAGTAGTCTTAGACAGAAAGAAGCGTAAATATTGGACAAGTTAAAAAAAGTGTAGCTTTTTGTAAGAAAAATATTCGTTTATTTTGAACACCCTGCAGCACGTAATAAATTCCGTCGAATATACCTTTTACGTCATCTCCGAATAAAGCTAATATCAAATAGAGTGATCTACCTATAAAAATAATGGAGCGTAATTTATTTGCAAGTGTGAAAACTATTTTTTTTTTTACAAAAATAAAAATATTGGAAAAACTATTGGGTTAAGGTCTATAATATTATTAATAAAGAATTTGAAGACTTTTAAAGGAATTGAAAACAAAATTAAAAAATACGGTGTTCCATTTAAAAAAATATATGTTTTATTCGTCACGCATTTCGAGTTTTGGTTAAATTTTGAGAATTATTGACGAAGTTTTTCGAAAAATGGACTGGCTCAACGAGCGCTTTTTTGGATCGCTAAAAGGTAACGAATATGTGAAGCGAAAACTCTGCTAAACAATTCTCAAAAAAATCTCAAAAAAATTTTCAAAAAATTCGTACATTACGATGGACGTTCTCATAAAAATCGTAAAAACTGGGGTAACCTCAGCATTAGTGCCTTTCAAGTCGGGTTTATATTAAATGCTCAATTGAGTTCAATTGACGAAGTCAAGCAGAACTACAACTTGTACTAATTCATGAAACTGTCTCTCAATATACCTAAAGAGAAAGCGAAAACAATACCTATTGAATATTCTATTATAATACCAAGAAATGTACAAAAAATGGAAATAAAAACTAGACCAATAAGCCGTTAATATTATTAACTTATATCTAATAACTAATAATTTATCTCGTAAAGGTATTGTATTCATTGTAGACTAAAATGACTAATATAATATGGAATGTTGTTTTTGAATACAACTGGGTGGCTACAAGTTAGTTATGCACCAATAAATATTTTAATTTTTACTATTAAATTAAAATTAAAATTAACATCGTTAACACTGACGAAGTGACGGACAGAATAATCGTTGTAACCCATGCCATATTCGGAATTTGCACAACTCATTTCGGGCCGTACATAAAATATAAAATAATATAATTTTACTTAATTTACATTTGGGTTACGTGATAGCCATCCACAATAATATGCCCTTTGGACTCGAAGCAAGAAGAGGATATTGCCTAATATTTAGATAGGTCAACAAATTATATAGGGATGGATTAATTCAGCGGGATACACACATACTGCGGAAAAATGGAACATAATTCTGCGTTTTAAAAAGAAAACTTCATTTTCGGTATCGCATTTCTCGAGAAGTTCCTATTTCAGCGAAAATTACGATTTACATCGACCGGTTTTAAGTTTCCGCGTTTCCGTGTACTACGCTAGCACAATATTCGCTTTTTAACACTTATTCGTAGAAATTTGGTTTTTGGCTCGCGCCACGGAGCTAATTTTGTTTTCCCAAAACAGCTCAAGAAAATAAATAATAATGATAATTCTTAAATCGTGGAGATTTTATTTTAAAGTGCCATCTAATGCATTTTAATAAACATCAAATATATTTACATGTTTTTGTTTTTTCTATGCCAAAAGCCCAAATATTTAATATTCCCATATACCGTTTGAATCCATTGCACCATCTTCTAGTTGTCGTCCTGAACTCTCGGTTTTTTTCTATAATAGAGAACAGTTATTAGAAATAATGTCATCATAATCCTCACCGAATTTGTTATTCCTTCTGTTTGAAATATTTTTCCCTCTCTGCTAAAATAAAGTGGTGGAAGAAGGTTTTATATGTTTTTATAAAAATATGAACTACTCCTTATTGGGGTCACCGGAATCATACCAGATGGCTTTTTCGGGGCAAGTTTGTTGCGAGTAGTGCGAAGCAGCTTCGCAGTTTCTTGTCCTAGAGGGAGATATTGTTTTTCTATCGTGCTCCTGCGGACCACTATGAAACTTTCGTAAAATCGATGTAATTGTATTGTGCATACACCCTGTGTAAAGTGTCTTTCAAATCTCGTCGAACTTCATAGTTACGGCAAACTTTGTACAAATAATAGCGTTGTAGAATGATATTATTTTAAAAATCTTGCGCGCCGTGTATAATTGACGAATCCTGAAACTCCCTCTCGACACCGTTTACGATACTGTCCAAATCAAATTATCGCATCTTTAGCAGTTTTTCATTTATCCAAAATAATTTACACACAAAAACGAAAATTTTTAGAATGTTTTAGATTTTTTTGCCCATCAACGACACCCCCTGTATATAAATCAAAATAGAGATTATAGCCCTGGATCTCCCACGTGTTTTGGTATCTGACTTTTTCCATTAGAGTAAGTGGTTTTCAAGAAAGTACTTGTTTTCTGAAACCATGCGGTAGGTGGTAATAGTAAATGACGTCATTGCGTCTAGATTGAGAGCGAGAAACGCAGATTTTCATTTGGATTTTTTCAAATATCTCGAACAGCGTATGTGATAGACGAAAACCGCAAATACAAAAATTGTAACTCTCGATGTGGCCAATAACACTGTTTAAACTAATTGGCGAAATTTTTCAGGAATTTTGATTTACGGCTAATAATTTAATCGCGAAAAGAACGAGAGAGAGAATTTGAAAACCCTGTATATAATGCCAAAAATGCTTGAAATAAAAATTATGTTCCCGGATCTCAAGCATTTTCCAATTCACAAGTTTTGCCGATCGGGTTAATAGTTTTCGAAAAAATAATTTTTTTCTGGAAGTCAAAATATACCAAAAAAATTTCAAAAATTTTAAAAAAATATTTTGCATTATTTAAGTAAGTACTTTGAAATGCGGGTGTGGACTTCTACCCTTCTGAAAAATCTGAAGTCGATAGCTGCAAATTTGAGATTCCTGTTAATTTATCATTAATATCAGGCGAAAACCTTAAATACCAAAGTTTTAGCTGTTAGCTGTTTAACCGACATCTGAAGCACCTTTTTTCACGTCTTTCAGTTATTATTTTCAATAATAGGGGGAACCATTTTTTAGTTTTTTTGAATTTGCGGCGCACCCGGTACATTTTTGAAAAATTTTCAAGAACAAAATTTAATTTTAATTTAAATTTAAGAATAAAATTCAATAGGTTCCGTCACGAAACCAAGCTGTGCTAAATTTAAAGTCGGTAGGTTCAAATTTTGATACTTATCGTGTTCCGTAGCAATTTCCAAAAAACGGTAGAAAAACGAAAAAAAAAATGGCCGCTAATGTCCGATCGCCGCCATTTTCAAATATCTTATGCCCCTAGTGGACTGTTAAAATGAACAAAATTTGAAGCGTCTAGCTCAAACCGTTGGGAAGTTATCTTCGAAAAATCCTTGAACAGAGAACCGAAAACCGAGAACAGACAGACAAAAAATAAAAACGTATTTTTTTTATGCTCATTCCATCTGTACCAACGGCGACGCTGTAGGACGCACCGTTATCGAGATCTGGGGTTTAGTGAGGATCTCATATACTTTCGAAAAGAATCGATTTCATCGATTTTTTGAAAGTAACAAACTAGCTCTCGTTTAAAAGAGCGCTCTATCCCTTATATTCAACTTTATAAAAAATTATTATATGCATTTGACACTAGGCACCACGGGACGTTCAATTACATAATTTCGCGTTTTTTTTTTTTCTAAAATTTTAAATACAACGGTATAATAAAAACTTAACAAATCATCGGAAACCTGATCTTAATAGATAGATGTATAAATACAAAATAGTACTAAATTCGAAAAAGTAAGCCCTTAACTACTTTAATTTGATTACGACTTTCCTAAGAAAATATGAGAATGAAACGATGAATTTATTATGATGTCGATAATAATCCATGATTAATGAAGAATGCGTAGAATATCAAGAACATTATTTCTTGCAAATTGTCATGGCGTCTTTTGCATTTTTTTGGGCTTCCTGAGACCAATTCTTAACGGGATACAAAATACTGTTGCAGTGGAAATTAGAAATTATTTCGTTTGAAATTACTGTAAGAATTTACGAGTCATTTTTTCAAAGAAACTCTCAGAGGCTACTATAATACGTTCTACGAATCGTTTGGATTCCTCCTGCATCGGTTTTTGTTAAGTCGAACTTGCTACCGCTTCGCCTGCTTCAAAAAAAAAAAAAATACGCGTCATGCGATTTGGTGTGTGATCATCTTAATATAACTCTAAATAAAGAAGTCGAATTACGTCTTTTTCGTCAAAAAGCTGGCATTTTATCCACTCATTAGCATTAGCGGCTGAGAAATTTACACTCGACGAAGATTAACTTCAAGAACAAAAAAAGCGGTCACCGTAGCTCAAAATTAAAATCTCGCCTCGACGTCGGGGATAAACATTACGACGCCCGGTGTGAAGATTTGAAAAATTTATTTTATTTTACGCCTTATCTGCCGTTTTAAATGCGTCTTATAAATCTCCGACATTATAATCAAAGAAGAGAAAAAAAAGAGAGAGAAAAAAGTGAGTTCTTACCTGTTCGCCGTTAATAAACCAGGTTATGTTGGCCGCCGGATCTGATCCCTGGGAGAAGCACTCCGCCACTATCTTTTTACCGATCTCGACTTTGGTCGGCTCTATATTCATCACCGGATTTCCGTTGGGGAGTTCTGGAAAGGAAAAAAATGCCCGGAACTAGATTACGAGTCCGTGTCTATCTTATTCCATTGTTTTGGGCGTTTCGCGACACGCACATAAAATACAGCTTGAAATTTCATTACTTTACTTCAGCAAACGTTTTAAAATGTTTACTTAATATCACCGGGCGAATATAGTCACAATAAATTAAAATTAAATGCGAATACACAATTTTGACAACTTTACGTGATGAGAAGCACTTAGTTAGGACTGCAGGTTCGTTGCTTGAATTTTAATATGAATTTTTGTAAAACGTAAATTGTCTTTATAGATGGTCATAAACTCACGGAATATTTTCGTCAAAATACAAGGTTGGGCGTTTGTTATGGTTATTTTTTTAAATTAAAAAATGCTATTAGGATCAAAAAGATTTATGAAATCTTAAGGAATATCTATATTTTAAATCCCAATAATAAATACCTTGTCACCTTATACCGGGAATCCAAAAATGTATTTTAATCTAATGGGAATTGGACAAGTGGCTTGATTAATTTGAATAGAATCGGGGAATTTACAATTTAATTCCCCATCAAATCGAATTTGTTAATTTTTCAAAGAAACGTCCACAGGCTACTGTAATGCTTTTTACAAAACTTCTGGATTCCCCCTGCGTCGGTTTTTGTTTAGTCGAAATTGCTGACGTTTCGCCAATCATCCTGTTGGCTTTTTAAGAGATTGACTGAAACTGTTTTAGTCAAGTTCTGAACCTGGAGTTTTTTACATTTTAATACAAATTAAAAAATATATATATTTATGCATATTGTGTTGCCGATCTGAGAGCGACCCTTTATACGCATAGAAACTTGGAACATTTTGTCCAAATGACGTGAATTTCAACTTAAAATCACTTCCTATAGAAATATACACCCCAACCAGCCAACAAAACCAGCGGTTTTTTTAGGCGCATACGTATTGCAAAAATATTTACCAGCCGCAGCATTTTGAAAGGCAAAATACGAAACCTTGTGTTGTTAATAATTAATATAGAAAATTCAACGAGAGGAAATGTTTATGATTATGCTGAACATAACGCAATTAAATAAATTTTGGGCTTCAACGAATATAGCGCTCATTTTTTTAAAAGTATCAAAGGACATAGAGAGCACTCGAATCGAACAACGAACGTTAATTTTAAATCCAGAACGAAATATAAAATACATTATAAAACCTCTCATACAACGGAATATGTATTTCTATTTTAATTCAGTTTTTTAAAGTTAAATTAGCGGAACTTGGTTTTCGGATTCAATTAGATATTTTAATTATTTGTTTATTTTATTTCGTGTTTATTTTCGGGATTCAAATTAATTTGCGCGAAAATATAGGGTGATTCACGATGGATGGCGGGTTCGCAGAATAAGATTTAGCTGGTTGAAAAAAAATAATTTTTATTTATTAATTATATTTTTAATTAATTATTTATTAATTAAAATTAATTTTTCAATATTTTTTGTTCAAAAAACTTATATTTGAATCCGTACAGAGTTCATATTATGGATATGGTTTACGTAGGTGTTTGCAGTAATTTTATGTAGATAAGCTTACTATGTAATACACAGGGGCGCGATTACACCAACTAGAATCATTTTTTCCAAATGGTGCATCCTATATATTATCAATTACTCTGGAAGACAATTAAAAACTCCTTCAAATGATATATTATTTGAGTTCCAAAATAAAAGCGAGTAAAAATTGGCATATTTGTCTTAGGTAGCCATAAAATTTTGAATTAATACTGTTGATCATTTAGAAAATTTGTCAGTTTGAAAGTACCTATATAATTAATAGCTCTATTTTAATTATTACCTATATTGCGAAATATTTATCCGAAGTTAATGCATCATCGTAAATAAGAAAACTTATTTTATACTTAATAATTATAATGTTTTTCTTGGTATTTTATTCTCTTTATTCGGATTTTGATCGGCCCAGAAATGTTCGTTTTATCTGTTGGAAACGCCCGCCTTAAACTGAGTAACTCAATGTTCGGTTTGAATATCTATTGATAAGATTATCTAAGAACGGAAAATTATTATTTGGTTTCACAATGTTTATGTCACCCCATTCTGTTCCGCCTCCTTCGAACAGTATATAAGCAGGTACACAGCAAAATGCAAACCAATTAAGCTCTGAAAAACCCAACAGGCCAAAGGTGAGAAGCCATTGTACTTCTGCTTGTAGTTAGATGCAGAAACTAAAAATAAGTGTTTATATATAGTTTGCATATTGACTGCGAAATGTAACACAAGAAACGTCAATGCGTGAAAAGTTTAGTTAGTCCAAACTAGAGCAAACATAGATAATTAACAATATATCGCATCATTAATTTTCTTTCTAAACAATCGATTGCTCTGTTCTAGTGAAACTGTAGTATAGCCAAATAATGCTAAATATATGGCAATATATTTTGTGCTAGTGGTTTCTATAATTTGCGCTAACTTCGTTCAAATTTTACTAAATCAAAAATTCAAAGAGGAAATAAATAAACCTGCAACATCTCTATATTTGCGTGCTTTCTATGTGCTTCGAAACACAAAAAAGTGGACGTGAGCCCGAGCTTCAAATTTATTTATTCATGTTATATTAATTTTTTATATTAATTAATATTAATATGTGTGTTTTCCTTTTTAATCATTAACAATATATTTCATATTTGGCTTTTCCTATTGCAGCGGTTGTTAAATATTTATTCAATGTATATGCACAAACGCTAGTTTTGTTGATTCGTTGTGTCCCATTTTTTTGGTGTTGTTTGGAGTTTTTACGTTAGTCACGTTAATTTAATTAAATTAATTAATCGAATGTAAGAAGCGCAAGTCTGGTTTTTGAATATATATATATATATATATATATATATATATATATATATATATATATATATATATATATATATATATATATATATATATATATATATATATGATGACACTATACTCCGGGATATCATCCGTTCGCTCGTTGAACTCCGACTGGAATCCTGCATCCGACTGGAATCCTGCAAATCCTGCATCCGACTGGAATCCTGCAGACGTTTCGCCAAAATCTCACTTGGCATCTTCAATGCTCGCGCTCCGAAAACACTTCGAACACTGTTCGAACAGTGTTCGAAGTGTTTTCGGAGCGCGAGCATTGAAGATGCCAAGTGAGATTTTGGCGAAACGTCTGCAGGATTCCAGTCGGATGCAGGATTTGCAGGATTCCAGTCGGATGCAGGATTCCAGTCGGAGTTCAACGAGCGAACGGATGATATCCCGGAGTATAGTGTCATCACATTTTTCCATCCGTGAATCAATACGTGAGAATATATATATATATATATATATATATATATATATATATATATATATATATATATGTTTAGCTTTTGGTTCTTGGGTTATAGGTCTTTGTATTAAAAGCGATTAAAATTTTTTTTGTCCATATATTGACGTTTCGGTCTTCTATGACCTTCTTCAGAAAGGGGTACAGTCTAAAATTATGTTATAGTACAGTTTTTTTTTTTACATATACACAACGGAATTACAAAGAACCTTACCAAAAAGAGACAAACACAAATCTTAAAATTGAAGAGGTAGCATCATATGGAAGTTTATACTTTAAAAGCGTTTGGTTTTGTCATAGTGCCTAGAAATATTATTGTTTTGGTTTTTTGCAACTATGAGAATAAAAAAGTCATACCCTTGATAAAAGATAAAAGTCCAACAAAAAATGATTTGTATACGGCACTCACACACATATTACACACAAATTTAAAGAAACAGTTAAAATATATATAAGAGTTTAAAATAATAATAATAATAATAATACCGATACGCGAGGTTTGCTCGCGTCGACGTTACTGTAAAAACATCGTACGATGCACGATTGTTTTGGTGCAAGGTTCAGAGGATATACAGAGTGTTTTTGTTAATTTATAATTTTTTTCTTTTATTTATTTTAAATTATTTTTATATATTATAATTTTATATTAATATATCCCTATGTTGTTACTTTCATTGTTGTTTTATTTCAGAATGTTGCAATATAACTTACTGAGATTGTTGGTGTCTGTTTTCGAATTTATAGAGTTCTTATTTTTTTGGATCTCAACCATTTCCAGAATTTCCCTTTTTTTTGTATTATTTTCGGTTTTTAGAATTTTTACTTTCGCAAAGTTGAAAGAATGCTTGGTTTCCGCGCAATGACTCTTCAGGGCAGTCGTATTTTTTTTGTCGTATTTGTGACCATTAATTCTGTTTTTAAGATACTGGCTTGTTTGACCGATGTACACACCCTCACAATCGTTGCAAGGTATCTCGTAAATGACGTGACTCTTCTTTTCGTCCGGTATCTTGTCTTTTAATTTACTTCAACAAAAAACCAAAAAAAACAGATCAAAATAAACAAAATTCAAAACTATGCGCTAAAATTAAAAAAACAGAACGTTTCCTGAAACAACATAAAGAACTCAAAATTTTGATACCAGATAAAACAAATAAAACAGTTATTATGACGGACGCTCAGTATGACAAAAAAATGCTAGATCTACTAAAAGACAATACCACCTACAGAGAAATGAAAAACGACCCAACAGCTATTTTTCAGAGAAAGAACAACGACTTAGTGTCCTCCTGGGAAAAAAAGTTATACATTTCCCATAGTACAGCGCAAAGCTTAAAAATTCTTAATTCTCAGCCACCCAGAATTTATGGATTACCCAAGCTTCACAAGGAATTCATCCCTCTAAGACCAATAGTATCATGTATCCAATCACCATTTGAAAAACTCTCAAAATTTTTAAAGAACATCTTGCAAAACGTTATACATAAAAATAGATACTATATTAAAGACTCTTTTGATTTCAAAAACAAAATTAAAAATATTTCTCTACCCAACGATTACATCCTAGTTTCATTAGATGTTGCTTCTCTATACACCAACATTCCAATAAATATTGCTAAGCAAGTAATCATCAAAAAATGGGATAACATCA